TCTAAAAACGCTGCCAATCTATACATTTATGATAGTGGTACAGTTTTCAGAGTTTTTCGGGCTGGCTCGCACCGATGCCACTCGAAAAACAACTGCATAGGGTGTAATAGCACATGCAGAATTTCAGAAAAGGAATTCACTTGGGCTCTGGTAGTCAGGATATGTTTTTCGTTCATTCGAATCTCCTGCACTGAACTAACTTACAGGTTGAAAAAGCACGTGAGGACCTGCTACGCGATTTAGTAGCACGACGCTTAGTTTCACTGGGTTCACTGAAGGCTGGAACTGCACTGGGTGAACTTGTTGATGAGACTGATTTTGAGAAATGGGCCTTGGAACCTGACACTGCGATCGATGTACAGAGAGGTAAGATTTTAAACTTCACTGCCGCTTGGCTGGGCCTTTCTTTTTCGATTACTGAATAAAATCACGTGTAACTTTTGTTTTTTTTTCTGAAGTGAATTTTCCAATCTTTGTCAGAATTTATGCTCACAGTTTATTCAGTTTATTCACTTTCCTGGTTGCCCTCACAACCTATTTGGCTCACAGTCGATGTTTGGCTGTTAAATTCGTCTCTTCGTTCACGCTGGTGCTTTGCCAATCCCCCATTTTATCGCTGTGCATTGGTACAGCTGCAATTTCGATATGTTTCCCATGATCGAAGCTGCACCACGTATTGGTCAAGCAGCTGACAGCTGAGCCATTAGATTCTCTGCCTCCCTTTTGTGTTCTTCTCTTGAGAATTGTTGGAGTACCACATACCTTCATTCCTGTGTAAATCTTCGTCGTGTACTCTACAGGTCCTCATTACACTTTTCCAAAACGATATGAGCTTAAAAGCTTGGGGTCCACTCGTATAGAAATTTCTAAGGTCACCGGATTTCTTGTCAAAATATGCCTGAACACACACTGAAAGTGGGCCCTACGGTTAGGGCAGCCTCCGTAGCTTCAATATTTTTTTTAGCATTTTGTGGTTTTCATTAAAGTCATTTTGGATAGAAAAGGCGACAGTAAATGTTGACTCCTTTTACTTACTTTTACTCTACACAAAGTACCTATTTTTTACTCTGTTACTTTTACTCTGTACAAAGTAGCCGAAGGAGTAAGCTTTGTGGAAGAAGTATGAGCAATCTATTGGATTATAAGACTTTCTAGAAGGTTTGATCGCTTCGCTATGTTAGAAGATGGATTGTTGCGCGGATGGAGAAAGACAACATGACATGTTAATTGCTGAAGTAACCTCCGTGCCTCTTTCCTTTGCAAAGCACGCAATTATC